TAGCGGTTTTTGACTTAATTTAATACAAATGGTCATTTTCTTTGAATTCCTTATAAAAAATTAAATTCATGACATCATTGAAATGTTTACTTCCAACCAACATGACAACTTGTCAAACCATCCATGTGGCCCTAGACTGTGACCGTTTTGTTCACTTTGATCAATGTTCATGAATTACCATTAATAAAATGTAAAAGTTTAATCTAAACAGGGGATAAGCATTGATGAATTAATTTTATTCTTTTGTTGTCATGTTTGTTTTGTAATTACAGTCTGTGCCACTCTACCTCTCTGAGATGGCACCCTACAGATTCAGAGGAGCTCTCAACATTGGCTTCCAGCTATCGATCACAATTGGTATCCTTGTGGCCAATGTCCTCAACTACTTCTTCGCCAAAATCCACGGTGGCTGGGGATGGAGATTGAGCTTGGGTGGCGCCATGGTGCCAGCTCTTATAATCACAATTGGCTCCCTTGTCCTACCAGACACACCCAACTCCATGATTGAGCGCGGCCAACACGATGAAGCCAAGGCCAAACTTCAGCGCATTCGCGGCGTGGACGATGTCAGTGAGGAGTTCAGTGACCTTGTTGCTGCTAGTGAAGCGTCGAAGCAGATTGAGGATCCGTGGAGGAACCTGTTGAAGAGGAAGTACAGGCCTCACCTCAGCATGGCCATCCTCATCCCCTTCTTCCAGCAGCTGACCGGGATCAATGTGATCATGTTCTACGCCCCTGTTTTGTTCAACACAATTGGGTTTGGAAGCGATGCTTCTCTCATGTCAGCTGTGATCACTGGCAGTGTCAATGTTCTTGCAACTATGGTTTCAATCTATGGTGTTGACAAGTGGGGAAGAAGGTTTCTTTTCCTTGAGGGTGGAGCTCAAATGCTTATTTGCCAGGTACCCTTTATCAAAAAACATAAAAAGTTCAAATCTTTTTGTAATTTAACAATTGGGTTTTTTGGTTTTTGGATTCTAATCAATTGGGTTTTTGTTCATCTTCAAATTGCAGGCAGTTGTGACAGCTTGTATTGGTGCAAAATTTGGGGTGGATGGGACCCCTGGAGAATTGCCAAAGTGGTATGCAATTGTGGTGGTGATTTTCATCTGCACATATGTTGCAGGCTTCGCATGGTCATGGGGTCCACTGGGTTGGCTCGTCCCCAGTGAAATCTTCCCACTGGAAATCCGATCAGCGGCTCAGAGCGTCAACGTTTCAGTGAACATGATCTTCACTTTCCTCGTGGCTCAAATCTTCTTGACGATGCTCTGCCATTTGAAATTTGGGCTCTTCCTCTTCTTTGCGTTCTTTGTGTTCGTGATGTCCATTTTCATTTACTACTTCTTGCCGGAGACAAAGGGCATTCCAATTGAGGAGATGGGCAGAGTATGGAGGACACACTGGTATTGGAAGAGGTTCGTCAGTGAGGAAGAAGATCACCCCAATGGAGGTTATGAGATGGGCAAGGCTGGTCAAACTGTCAAAAATGTGTAATTGGTCATGGGTTATTATGCGTTGTTGCCCATCTCCTCATTTACTTTTTATTTTTATTTTATTTTTGGTAGAAGTGAATATTATTATTGTTTCCAACGCCAAGGTTATATATAGAAAAAAATGGTTGTGCAAGCATTTATGTCAAATTTTCATTTTTGCTATAAATTTGTGTCCATTATTTACAAGCATCTTTGAATCAACCAAAGAGAGACACTTTCGTGCGGACTTAGGATAATTTTTTCATATATTATAAATATTATTTATTGAGAGTAGCAAAACAATATTTTTCCAGTTAGTGGTAAGTTTTTCTGCATATATTGGGGAGGTGCTGACTTATGTGGGTTGGGCCACAGCTAGGATTGTGTTTTGGACTTTTAACAAAAGCACTATTCTGGTTCTACTTTTCCACGGCAATGGTTGGGTCGAAACTTGTGCAATATAAGCCACTCGGACTCGTCCAGCAAATCGAAAATTTAAAAAATCGAATGACAAAACAGGCAAAACAGAGTAAAGCTGACAGTCTATAATTGTCCACCAAGTAAGGATCAAAAAGTTGTAATTAAAATTTCTTGATGAGTACCATGCAATTACTGGGGCTATAAGATTGGCTCAATCAAAAGGCATTTCAATTTAGGTATAGTTAGCAGTTGCAGGTATGGTAATGTCCAGCTTGGTTTAGGGCCATTTTTGAGTGAGACCTTTATCATATATAGTTCTGTCTACATAAAATGAATTCGTACATGAGTTAGCTATAACCTTTACAACCTTCTAAGCAACCTTATAATTGAGAGGCTCGAAAGTTTCATGTAAATACCGCTATAGAGAGCACGTTATTGTACTATATTTCTAAAAGAATCTATCAAAACAATTAAATTTCACCTTTAATAGCGAGTGGATAAACGATGTGGTATATAATAAAGTGATCTCTCTAGCAAAACATGGAAGTTATAACAGATAAATAATAGTTTTAATGACATAATTGATAAGGCATATTATTCACAGAATATCGTGGATGGTTGTGAGCCATTGATGTGATCAAATAGATAATGGGGCACATTGGATTAAACAATGTTTTGTGTGGAAAACTAGAGGGAACTTTCTCGGGTGAATGGAAACTGCACCCAACCACCAAATCAAGATTGCCATAATTCATATTACAACTTTATTGCAAAGTGGTGGGGGAATCAAATTTCACATGCTTTTTTGGGAACCATTTTTTTCTTTTTTCTTTTTCTAGAATGTAATAATGAGATTGCAACAAGGCATGGTATTTTGAAAGCTTGAATGTGAAGGCAACAAATAATGCTGTACGAATTACAAGTCACATGCCAAATAAATCCTTGTAGCAAAAGGGAGGTGTGAGGGAGGTTGTTTGTCAATTTGGCCACGGCCTTCCTATGAAATGAAAAAGAAAAAGAAGAAGTATCGCATGACGCTCTCCTAAATGCTAATGGATATGTTTTTGGATAGATTTGGATAACTGGTTTCATTTCTTTTTCTAAAACACAAGTTGGGTATCATATGCTTAGCTTTAAATTTTGGTTCTTTTGCATCTCTTTTTAGTCTCTCGTCATCTCAACAATGCATTCAATTAAGCACTTTTGGGTCTTGACATACAAGCTGCTGCGTGATGCAAGTGTCTTTTTGGGTGATTCCCAACTGTTTAAAAAGCAATCAAACTACTTTTATACCAAACAAAAGCACTTTTGTGTTTGAAGGAAATTCTCAATGGATTTTGTTGTTGGATAAGTTTTTGAGGTTCCCATTTGGAATTGCATCAAGATTAAACACAACTGGCCCAATCTGACCCTTAAGACATTGGGCCGAAAAGGCAATCAACAAATACATTTTGTGATCTCCTTATTCATCATGCATTGCATGCAGAATGCAGATGCAGCTTAATTAACTAAGTGTGCCGTTAAGACAAACCCATTGGCCTACAAAAAGAGCTGTGCAATTCAGATTGGGATTGATTGAATCGAAGAACTCAGCTGGCAAGCTGAAAGCCTGTGCAATCTCAAAACAGGTGTCTCCAGTTTTCACACCATACACTGATTCACATTTCAGGGTGGCCGGCGGCTTCAAAATCCCATTTGCTAATTTCAATATTAGAAAAAAAAAGTCAATATAATTCTTAAAAATTACATAGATAATCATATTACATATCTATTTTTGTATGCTGCATTTTTTTTTTCCGAAAACAAAAAAATTATATTTACCAAGAAATTGGCCTTCGGAAGCGACTACAAGGAGAAGAGAGAGCATCAAAACCAAGTTGAGAGTCCTAGCCATGCTCTTGTATTCTTTCTTTTCTCTTCCTTTACACAATAGAAACTTTTATTTATTTATTTATCTGGGTTTACCATCCTCCTATTTATATTTGCAACAGTGTGGTGTATACAAACAAATGAAGCCAACAAGTCGATAATATCTGAGCTTCACACAAGAGCCAGCTTTTCTATGAGCTGGACTTTGATCAAGACGATAACATCAATACAATACCACACCAGACATTATACCATACAAATAGGTATTACAAATTTACACCAGACATTTATATCATACAAATATAATTTTTAACTGCAGTATTCAAATATTTTTATTACCGATTTTTTTAAAAAAACAATGTAGTTGAGAAGCATTCCACTTATGTAAACCTAAAGTAGAAGTGGGCTCAGAATGAGGCACAAGAATTGTTTTTGTATTAAAACCCAAATTTGAAAATCTTCGCTGGATAGACCTTTTCCGACAAATTTTCGACTGGTGGGAAGAGGAAAATTCAGAAAGAGAGAAAGAAAAGAAGATAGAACTTTCCCGGCGAATTTTGTTCTTTCCTGACAAAATTTTGCCAGACTTTTTCGGCACCTTCTGTTATTTTCCAACACAATTTCGACGGGATACACCTTTCATTTTGAGGGCAGACATTGGAAACACCTCAAGCAAATCATCCAGGCCGAGAATTACCAGAATTACCCACCCCATGAACCCAATTGTAAGCTACACTTCACATAAATAATTTCAAGTTTTCACTTTTATTCCTCTTTGCTATTTTGAATTTAGTGTCCTTTAGAGATATTTCTATAATAATAAAAAGTTTCCTTTAGAGATTGCTTAGTTTGTGTTTAAAAAAACATATTCATTTTAGTTTAGTACTTCATTTTTTTGAACGTGGCATGGCATGATGGTTGCATTGCAGATGTTAATGTAGAGTCGGCGCCCTCAATGCATCCATGCAAGAGAATATGTGATATTACAGGATATGAGGCAGCTTACTATGATCCAAGTACCAACCTCCGCTACGCCAATGCTGATAGCTTCCCAATAGAATATGTCCAGACATATCCGGCTCACAGAAATGCTGCTGTGGTTTTGAAGTAACATTTTCCCAAGTCAGGAGGAAGGAGGCTTCATTTTTTCCTTTCTCCTCTTTTATTATCTTTCAAACTTAAAACAATTTTGTAAAGATATGTGGTATGGTATGCATACTAAAAAGGAAATTTTTTGCCTTGCTTTTAAGTATTATTAATTTCTTTCAATGATGAATTAAACTTCAGAAATACACAGCTGCTGATACAATTGAACTCACCATCTCAGGAAAGAACCAACTAGGTAATGCTGCGGTTAAAATGAGCAATTGCTCATCGTTTAGTAAACAATCCTTGAGTTAATGATGAGAAATCAAAATCCCTTCCTGACTTAGTGGGAGGGATGGAAGATATCGGTGACGCTGTTGAAAATCCGGTAGCTCTAAGGTTTGTGACACCATTCACTGAAGTTACTGGCCTTGTCGCGTACATGCTGCATATTTTCAGAAAAATAAAAATAAAAATCTTACGCAATCAGAATATTTCTCAACCAGGTCTATCAACACTCAAATTGTATGATTTGGAATCCATTGATCTATAATGTGTACCTTGATGTTGGGAAAGGAAATGCATTCCCTACCGGGCGTGTAGGACCGCTGTTTCCAATCTGTACAGAAAAAAAGATGATAAAAAAGATAAGAGACGGAACATGAAATGGAAAAATTCTAGTTGTAACCTTTTTCATAAGCACAACCCGAGTATAATGTTGTGGAGGAGGATGAGCAGGCACCAGGTTTCCAGGAACTTGGCGGCCAATGCTTTGCCCATTTCGAGTTGGCAAGTGGATGGCATGGGATCCAGGTTGTAGGTTTGCAGGAACTGAATGCGGTGCGCTAGATTTCGCTGCAGAAGACATGAGTGACGACTGTTGTTGAGATAGAACTGCAAGTTGCTGTTGATGCATGGATGGAGAAGCCATACTGGACTGACCAAAATCCAATATTAAATTTGTGTTAGAAACATAAACCAATATCTTAAGTATTCATAGATCGTGTTCTACCAGCATTACATCAACAGCTACTTATGGCATGCTAAACAGATTTTGCAACTTATACCTTCTCAAGTAAGTTCATAACGTCATTCTGGGGTTTCATTGAAAAGGGTTGTGTGACTGGGGTTGAATCTATAAATAAATCCTCAATACCATAACCATATTTTGGCTGAATCTTGCTCTCAGATGATTTTGCTCTTTTACTTTTCTCTTCGGTCAATTTTGTTTCATCTGCTGCACGTTAAGGAGTTCAAGGTCAATCAATGGTAATCCTAAACCCAAATTTATAAGATGTTAATGATTTGAATTTTTTTTGTCCTGGGTGGGAAAACAATATGATGAAGCAACAGTTGTTCTAATGATATTAAATAAAACAAACATACCATGGAGACCAGCCAATGTATTCTTATTGGCAGATATCACATAGTCATTTCCTCTAGATTCTTCCACAGAGAGCAAATTGAACAGATGAGTAGCATAATCCACTTTAACTGGTAGGGAAACCGTGGCAACACTAGGTGCTTGACTTGCTGCAGGTTCAGCTTTCAAGGCTGCTTCTGGTTTTGATTTTTGCTCAAGTTGGTGTGGTTTTGAATCATGGTTGACCTGTGCATCAAGATCATAAACTTACTTGCATGCACAGAGATATGGAAGAAAAAAGGAACCAAGACATACCAAAACAAGAGGCAGCATGATATGCATCAGTTGTCCATTGATTTGAGAGGGAAAACAAACAATACAACATTTACCTGCTGAGGTGCCCTGTTACGTGCACTGGGTGGATGAGCACCTTTCTGCTCTTCAGAAAATCGTTCCGTCTCTTTCACATGGCCATGTGGACTACTAGTTTCAGGTCTCGCTCTATAAACGGAATTCTTCTCTTCATTCACCCTTGGAGGTGATTTTGCTTTTCCATCCCTAGGAACCCATTTCTTGTGTTCATACCTAATGGATAACATAAGCACCCAAACACCTAAGCCCAAAATATGAACTACTAGTACTGCATCATACAAAAACCAACAATCTTAGCCAATAATAAACAAACCTACTTTGCACGAATGAAATTTTCAATTCCAACTCTGTCATAATTAGGAGGCAACTCTGCTTCCCAAAAACTATTTGATTTCTCGTTTCCCATAGCTAGCAGCAACAATGAACCAAAATGAATTTCAGTACTCGTATCGTATCATGGTTTTATACTTGACTCCCAGCAGAATGAAAAGAAAACAGTCATATGACATTGTACTTACATTGGATAAATGCAACCTGCTCTGGAAGCCATGTGTCCAATGTGGCAGATCTCACCTGCATCAACATCAAAATCCTTGAAACAATGCAAAACATATACAGAATAGCAAGAGGAAAAAAGAATGAACCTCTAATTGCACGGGTTCATGTGCCTATGGCCTAAAATATAAATAGCACTTCGATGTATACAAAAAACACGAAATTGACTGCAAAATAAATAGGCAAAAAGATTTGCCACCTTTGATATATGTACCCCAAGACTCCTGTGGATCCCCGAACATTGCATGCATATGAAGATCCCAAGATTCACACTAGCCCATCGTGGAGCTCTGCGCAAAACACCATTACAAGTTAACCATCCATATAAGATGACAACGATAAAATTAACCTCCACCAAAGTACAGCATTAAAATCTAAAAAGTTTTCATTACTTTGTGTCTTCCCCTTAATCCTTGCTATTGAATAAAAACTATTCTGTTGTTTCTGCTTTAGCAAAATAAAAATTACTATCTACATCATTCCAAGATACGCACTTGGTTTTGCAGTCTGCACATTCTCTGTTCCCTGGTTGTTTAAGAAGACCCTCCAATATCTACATACAAGGAAACCAGATGAGACCAAAAAAAATCAGAGGTAATTGTGAAACTGGTTCAAATGCTAGTTAGAAAACACAAAAATTTACAAGGGGAAAATTAACACCCAGTCTGGCTCAGCTAATCAGCTTTAAGCAAAAAAAGTGTTCTAAAAATGCTTAGAAACTAAAATACTTTGATTAAAAACAATTAAAAAAAAGAAGAAACATCTAATGTAATGGACAGCTGTGTTTGTGTGCTACATGCAGAAATAAACTAATGTTATCACTATCTCCCGACCAAGTGACAACTCATTGTGGACCTTCACTAAACCACGCTTGCACCATCAACAGTTCAATTATACTTGTAGATACTATATGATCATGAACTGATTACGGCTGAATTTTCAATTATTTAAGTGAAATAACTGAATGCAACATAAGACGAACAACATAGGCAGTGTCAGATAACCAATTCTGTTTATAAGGTGCACCAGAATCAAAAAATTTAAAAAAATTTAAAAATTTAAAAAAAGGACCCGCCCAGGCCGCCTAGGCGGGCCCAGGCTCTAGGCGGCCGCCTAGGCGGTATTTTCGAACACTGCTAAAGTTGAACAAGATGCAACGAACCGTCTTGCTAAAGACCCAATTAACATCTTGAAAAAAACCCAGTTAGCTCAAAGAAACATTGATAACGGTCATGAATCACTAAAGCACATGGAATCCAATTACAGTGTTCCAGGTACAAGCAAACCCCAAAAAGATTGTCATGAAGCCATAAGATTGCAAGCTAGTTAATAACTGACATATGTTTGTGTTTGAGGCCAACCCATCAGCCCAAAACACTTAATCATGCTCAGCTTCAAACTCAACCAACAACAAAGCCAAAAATTTCATCCCCACGAAACAAGAAAAGAAAAGAAAAGAAAAGAAAAAAAACCAAATCTTTCAACCATATAACAGAGAAAAGAATAGAACTTTGAGACTGTATAAGTAAAATGAAGAGAAGGAGAGAGACCTTTCTGTGTCTGGCATTAAGCTCTTTAGAAACGTTTGCCTTCTGGTTCATGTTTCTGGCAATCCAAACCAAACAGCTCTCTCTTTCTCTCTCTTTCAAAAAGAAAAAAGGGTCGGTCTTTGTGTTGTGATTCTGAAAATGAGAAAATGAGAAGTGGGTATCTTTCTTCGCTCTCTGCTTTGTTGTTGTGTTTGGACTTTGGAGGCTGGCATGGCACACGCGTCACGTATGTCAATGGGCAAGCCAAGGTTTCGTATTCTGGCTTTTTGGCTCCTTTTTAATTTTCTTCTAAGGGCTCGTCACGCGTGTTGGCCTTTGACGGCGCCGTCCTCTGTTTTTTCTTCTTTTGGTGTCATCTCCGGTCTACTGTTTGGTTTGCCCGACCAAACAACCAAACATATATTTAGTCCATTTAGTCCCGACCCAAAAATAAAAAGTGTTCAATTAATTGTCCAATCTCTATCTGCCGCTTCAGATAAAAATACAATTACAATCTGCCGCTTGAGTGTGAATTCTACCTTGAAAATGCCCCCAACTTTTTGTAATCATTCAGGAAATGGAATCTTGTACATGTGACATCTCCTTTAGAGGACTTTCACCCACAAGGGTTAAGTCTAAGGCAAGGACAAGCAAAGGCTGTCACTATTCACGTGAATAGTGTTAGCCTTTGCATTTGTGGTTCCACCCATGAGAGCTAAGTCTAGGGCAAGTCTAAGGCAAATACTATTCATATGAGATATGAGGAGATGAATTTGTATATAGTTTTTTGTGTGGGAAGTAAAGAATATGCCTAGGTATTTATTTAAAAAAATTCTGAAATTTTTGGTTATTTATTTATTTATTTATTATTTTTTTTGGGGTTGCTGACGTCATTATGACGTCAGCATTGCATCAGCTTGCCCTGGCAGCAGCTCGGGCTGAATTTGCCCTTGGGCCTGCCCGGGCTGGTGGAACCCACCATGAAACCAGGCTGCATCTGCTGCGCTGGAGGTGTCTTGGGCTCGCCAGGACAGCCTTTCCCCCAGTTTGGGTATGGCGTTGGCGATGCTCTTAGGCTACCACAATACACACATACGTATAAACATATACATATATTAACATGCTAAATATGTTTTACTTAATCCCCAACCAAAGTATTTTTTGGGACATGCAATGAGCAAGGTTATGGTTTTCATAAGCAAGAAAGGCATGAGATGCTAAAATTACTGCCTTGTATTGTAGGATCTCCTCTCTGGCTTGCTAGCTCTGGTTGATAATTGACGATTGATGATTGGGATATTAATTTGGTTTGGTAGTTGATCATTGGACCCTCTCTCTCTCTCTCCTGTTTACATGTGTTTTTTTTTAATCCAATCCATTGGTCATCCCATAGCTTAGATTATTGCTAATCTGCTGTGATTTTGGTAATGCTGGTTTGGTTGAACCAACAACATTAACATGTTTTTTTAATATCATCAATTACGAACATTATTGTCATCACTAACTAACCAACTAACAGAGGAAATAGAATAAATTATCCTGAAAAAAAAATTTGTATGAAATGCATGATCCAATTGAACACCTCATCTTTTAAGGAAGATAGTTCAAAGTAGTTCAAAGTTGGTCCAAACACACGTCATATTATTGTTGAGAGGTGATACATTTTACTAAAACTGAAAAAAGAAATCACACTCTTGTATATAGTTTATATGAAAACTATTCAAATCACTCCCTCTTCTTGTTTAATTTCATCTTTGATTCTACGTCTCCGCTGTAAGGTGCAACATGGTATGCATATTGCTGGAGAACAGAAAACACCACCATCTCCAGACATATCAAGACATTCTGAATAGCTTCCTCAATGTGCTCCACGTCTAACCAGAAATGATGAGATCGAATGACGCCTACAGCAGCTAATACGTCAATCACCACTCCCTGCAAATGGTTCAAGAAGTCTTATTTGTTAACAAGTAATAAATGGCACTTCAAAGTAAATAAATACGAAAAGAAAACAGCAAAAGGAATCTCTTGGTAGTGATCAAGTTTTTGACCGGAAACCAGTTTCCAATAGAACCAGCTGATTAAGTCAATGGTGGTTCAGTTACAAACCAATTCCCACTTTCTTAAATGTCTTAGCTTCCAAGTCTAAAAACAGAGAATATTATACCAAACTCTCCCTAAGTTGCAGCAAATCGCTCTTAAATTGTAATTCCGTCAAATGAGGTGAGCAGTTCAAAACAAGTTAAATTATTTTTGAGTTCAGAAGACAACAACCAGCAACTCAGATAATACCAATAACTAGGAGATTCTATAGAGGGGTATATCCTTGTCCTTGGTGTTTTTGTGGATTTGCTTATGTTATATATCCTTGACTGCATTTTCTTTAAGGCTGCATATATAAATCAGGCATGCAAAAGAACCGAAGGGGTCGAGAAATTGTACCTGCCAAAAGCAGAAGAAGACTATTCCCTTGATGCACAGGAACTTTGCAAGGGGGGAATGTGGTGCCAATTCCTTTGCAAACACATGGTAAAACACCACTAGAGAGTATAACGCTAATGAAACTGAAACATTAAGAATGATAGTGAATGTCCAGCTCAACCAACTGGGGTAGAGTCCAAGTGCTTGCAGTGTTATCATCAAGACAGAACAAACTGGGCGTATGATGACAAACTGCCAAGTCCAATATTTGAGTAGCTTCAGGGTATGGTGGTTTAGCCGAACGGTGTGAGGCTGCAGTTTGTTAAGCCACATTGTATCTGTTAATATATGATAGATTCAACATATTCAATAAATTATGCTTTTTAACTAGAAAGATAAGCTTATATTCCAAAATCAGTGTTAGAATTCAGAACCAACATGTCCATTGCATTGGAAACTGAAAGAGCATAAAACTATCCCGCACCTGAAAAAGAGTCATAGGAAACGAGTGGTGAATTTCTCTTCCTTTGATTTCATCTGGCACTATATTCTTGCTTATGGATATCTTCAGGTAACTATACATTAGAGCCAAGAACTTAGCAATCACCTGGAAGTAGGAACATGAGAAGTTAGAGATTCTGGCAGGCCATAAGAGACACTTGAAAAGGACAACCGCCATAAAGAAATTGGAGGTACTCACCAGAGCCTCATAACACTCCTTAATAGAGTCCAAAAACATGAAAAAAGTTTTGCTTCCCTGAATATCCAATAAGCCCACAAATGAGTCAACTGCATATATTGGAGCCATAAGAATAATAATTATTATAGCCTTCTGCTCCTTCGGGTTCTTCCAGTAAAAGAGATGTTGTGACAGTAACTGGACTGAGAAATGCATTGTAAGCATCACACAAGATGCAGATCCTAGCAGCGTCAATTGGCCCCGATCCATTGTACTTAAATCCATTATTCAGCAGTGAGATGGAGCCCAAGGTTGGAATCTGCCGAAAGAATATTACATGATCTTCAGATTCTACATGTTAAGTTCAATATGGAAGGTACTAAACAGCCATCCATATCCCAACTGATTCATTATTCAAGCATATGCCATCACCAAGTAAACATTTACAGGAGCAACAACTCTAAAGGGCATCTGCAATTTTCATATTGCATTCTGTGAGCACTAAAAGGTCACACGCTTATTTGATATCTTCTTGCAATGTGGTCTTTTTAAAAGGTGAACCTAACTTTGTAAGATGTTTCAAAGTTTTTAAATTTAGGATATTGCCTGATGTTGTCAAAACTTTCACTCCAAAGTTCTCACCTTTGCAATTGGTTTTTGAGGAAATTGCAATAAAGATCAGATATTGAAATCAAGACCTCACAATTCGTTCCACTATTCAGGATTATTGAGCGAACCAGAAAACCCAAAATTGATCAGACGCAGCATAAAAGGATAGAGGAATTTCAGCTACCAGTAAGTACAAATGTAAGGCAATCAACCAAAACTTGGTGCAAGAATCAAAGCAACGTCTGTTCTCTAAAATGAAAAACGTGTTGGATAGAGAGAAGAAACTCACCGAATCGGAGCAATCGAGCGGTCCAATAAACCCAAGATACCCTTTTGTGATTGAATTTGAGTGAAGAATCAGATTGTTTCAGTCTCGTCTTGAGGGTCTTTGTGTGAGTGCTCATACATCAGTCCTCATTTATCACAAGCCCACCAACCCCCTCCCAATTATGGCATTCATTTACTCGCAGACAGGGCCTGGCCCTGCTGGCTGCCGCTGTTATTTTATGGGTCTGGGTTATTTTTAACACCTTAAAACCCGTTTTTACCCTTTAGAGAGTTTGATGGAAAACCAGATTACCAGTTTTAGAAAATAAAAAAGAACCTTGTTAAGAATGTGAAAATTTCCATTTGCTAACATAAATCACCATCATCAAACCTCAAAAGTTGAAAATAATTGGAGATTTTGGGCACCATGGTCCATCAATTGTAAACAAATTTATCATGGTCCAGCCAGAGCATATACATATATATAGCTCTTTCTGAGGAGACTTTATTGCCATGCTTGTCACAAAAGAAAGGATAATGAAAAAAAGAAGTTACATTACAAATATAAATATGGATCAAGTGGTCGAGAAAGGACTGTCTTGAGCCCTGTATTATTACTTACAACGATAAATAATATTAAGTGAAAGGGTAGGTAGATAAAGTCGTTTATTTTGGAACTCAAAGGAAGGTAGAAGAAAGAGAGTAGGTTTAGTCGTGCACTGGGATGCCATTGCTGGGCTCAACGGCATTTTCCTCTTGATCCTGGACCTGCACGTATAATGAACTGCATCATCAGAAACACTATATAAAGAACAAACCCTCTATAGAAAAGAAAAAAAGTAACACTAATTATTTGGTTACCTGAGGAATTGCCTCTGCAGCATTTTGACTTCCTCCCTGTCTGGACCAGATGGTTGCAGTAAATTTGTGCACCAATAGAACCCTAAGTAAGTTAGGGGTAACTAGTAACCCGTGGACTGTGTTGCCGACATTCTGTAGAATGCTATTAGTACTATTGTCAGCAGCTGAAGGTTGAGTAATTGGTTCCGAAAGCTTCTTATTATCTGTATCAAAAAACGGAAGGAAGGGGATTAATTACCAAATCAACAGCTAAAAGTGGCCCTGCAACGATCATTTCAAATGCAAACGATCTCATCCTTCATAGAATATGAATTGGGTAGTGTATGCTGTGAGAATGTGAAGAAATGTCCCACATTATAAGAAGTGCATTATTTGGTGAAGCGAAGCTGTTTATCCATTTTCAATGTGGAAATATTTCTTCGCACTCTCACACATAGGATCTTCCAGCAAATATGAAAAGTATACAAACTGATATCACTACACTTTTTCCTATCATTTTGAAAGTCTGGCTAACAAGGAACAAAATACACCCAAGTCAACATGTAAGAAATTCCAATTCAATCTGGTGGAGTTGATCAGTCTTGAATCCTGAGAAATAAAGAAAACAGAGTTCAGACATAGCTTAATAAAAGCATACCGTCTGTACTGGCTGCTAGCTTCTCTATAGAGTCTGCAAACACCAAAAACAGAACTATCAAACAGAGAAGAAGAAATAATCCTCATAACAATTATGTGAAAAATTGAGTGCGAGAGGAAGGACATACCACTGCTCCGACTCCTTTTAATCTGATTGCTGCTACTGAATGATCCCGTATGATATTTTCATGAAAATAAAAGTTCAGAGTTAATAACTTCCAATTAATATAAGGGGAACAAACTCAGATTTGCATTTTGTTTTACCAAATTGCTTCAAACTCTAAACATATCATAGGACACCACCGTGGCCATGTGGATCAATCTTCTAAAATAAATCTATTGCAAACTTTTAAAGACAAATGCCTTCAAAGACAAAGTAAAATGCCATGTTTTCCAACCCTCTGGTTAGGCGTGTAACATACTGGAAGACAGATTAATCCTCATTGCCTGCAAACTCTTGTTTGCATGGCAGAAAAAGACACGAATTCAAACATGTACGATGAACAAGGTTTAATAGTTCGTGGCATACTAACCGTGGCCGAGGGAGCAGTTCTTCAGGATGAGAAGTTACGATCTGCATCTTTAGATCAGGAAAGTACCAAATGTGTTCCCGAGGATTATCCTTCTTTTCAAAATCATAATATTTCTTCAATTCAAGTGGATCAACCGACACAAGGTCCGTTGGTCTTGGATGAATAGCAGGTAATGCATATCTCTTGGATGTTTGGGAAGCAGGTCGAGGACATCTTTTTTTGGTCAGAGGTAGACTGACAAGAATCCATCTTAATCCTGAACAAGTAGCCCAAATTTTCGCAGTCTGAGATATGGATGACCTTTAGTTTATTCAAACAAAGTGCAAATGGCAAAGGGTCTTCTTTTGATATTAAGCCCTCCATCTTCTGACATTTTCTAACCGAAATTTTTTCGAGGTTTGGAAGGTTGTATGACATGTTCCCCTTGAGCAAATAGACCAAACTTTCGCAGCCAGATATATCTATGACCTTCAGGCTGTCTAGACAACGGCTAATAGGCAACCAACGTAGATCCTTGTTGCTCATTACATGCAGCTCAGCGGTATCTTCTGGGAGTGAGATTGGTCTTTTGCTCACAAGGAAGTCACTTTTGATGAAAACTATGCTGTTTTCAGCCAACTTCGTTTCATCCCAAGAACCACCCACGGAGAATTTGAATTTGGACAGAGAATGATTCTTTGAACTGACATATGTATTGAAGGATTTTGCATCCAGGAAGTTGACTTGAAGAATAGCTAAGTGCTGAAGGGCTCCCAGCTCCTGAATACTAGCTGCTTTCTCTGATCCCCACATACTACTTGCTCCTTTCTCTGATCCCCACAGAGAACCTGCAGAGTCATTGGTTATCATCATCAAGTAGAGTTCTTCCAGATTTTTTAACTCACGCACTAATTCAGCTTGAAATTCTCCCACATTGGTACGAGACAGGTCGAGGCGAATAAGTTTGGTTAGTTTCTTCATGCCATGAGGTAATTCTGTTATGTGAGTATCAGAAAGATCCAGAACAAGTAGTTCCTCAGAGTTTGCTAAAGAAGGCATAGATGTTAAGTGGCAACAACCGCGCAAGAGGAGTGCCCTTAGTTTTGTCAAGTAAGAAGAGGCTGACTTTGGAAGGGTAGAGATATTGGTATGAGAAAGGTTAAGAACTTTGAGGTTAGGCATGTTACGAAAGAAATCGTCATCCAAGTGAGAGATGGGGTTGTGCTGCAGAAGTAATGTGGATAGCTTGTGAAACTTGGGTTTTCCTGTAAGTGCTTTAAACTGACTTCTCATCAATGAGGCTCTCTCTACTTTAGACAAGTTCTTCACTAACAGCGGACAGTCGGTAAGCTTCTCCCCGGCTTTGATGAGAAACTGATCATGATCAGTTCTTGTATTGGTCAGATGGACTGCCATATGCCTAATGAAGTTACGTATCTTGATGCATTCATTTCCACCTTCACTGACTGTTTCCAGAAGGTAAGCTCCTTTGATCTCATCCAGTATCTCTCTTGCTTGTATCATATCTTCTATCAGCTGCCCCTTAATTCTTTCTCTGCTACCCAATAAACCTTCCCAAAACCAATGCTCCACTAACTCTTTCTTTTCAATGCAATGACCAGGTGGGTATAAAGCACAGTACAGGAAACACTGCTGAGCTTCTTTCTTCAACATGGAGTAGCTATATTTCAGACGAGCAAATGCCTTCCTGTTCATTCTTTCCAACAGAACACTAGAATTTCTTAACTTGTAAAATGCTCCATTCCATTCGGCATCGACATCGTTAGGATCAAATTTCTTTATTTCTTTTAAGGTTTGTGCCAGGCCAGCAATCGCCACGGGCAGACCATCACATTCACGTACCATGTCTTCTGCGGCAGCTCGAGTATTTTCCCTTAGTGCAGATAATCCAATGCCAGCTTCAACCTCGAACAACTTGAGTGCTTCTTCGTCTGATAGAAGTTTGATTTCAACCTCTCTATCAATTTTGATGTCCCTGCACACTGGCCGTGATTTCGATATGATTATAACCTTGGAGCCATTGTTTGTTTGCCACGGAATCCCAATATGCTCCAGAGACAACTCTTTCCGCATATCGTCCAAAACGATCAGAAATCTTCTCTTCCTCAACTCAATTTCCAACGTGTCTGCTCTGTTCCCGGCATTGCGGTGAAGTTGTAATTCCTTTTTGATGTCCTGCTGCAGGGCATCAATGGCTGCGTCAGTTGATCCAATATTCTCTACAGTCAGCCAAATAATTTTCTCAAAATGGTCTGCAATATTTCCATCTTCTGAGGCACAACGTTTGTACTCTTTTAATATTTGGTTATTGACTTGCTTTACAACTTCAGTCTTGCCCGAACCAGACATCCCATAAACACATATGATTCCAACCTCCTTTTCTGAAACGCACTTCATAATCTTCTCAAAAGCACTTGCTGTCTTGCCCACCAGTTCTTTTGTGTTCTGTATATATCCCACCACAAAGTCTTCTTCCGCATTGAACAAATTTGAGCCCTCCTCGTTCAGTTTATTCACCATTTCAATTCTGCCAACAATGGTCTTCCCAGCTTTATACTGTGAGCGATAATAGTTTGGGAAACCACACAAATTCCCACTTATTGTGTCCTCAAAATTCAACTCATTAGTTTCAGCTATGAATTCATTTGCATTTTTTAACCAGTCCGAGATTTCGTAAGGCTTGCTCACCACCTTCTCCTCAGATTCTCTCTCTACGTCACACCTTCGTTTCTTCAAATCGACCATGCCTTCTTTTAAAGTATCTAGATATTCTTTGCGTTTTGTGAAAAAATTATATTTCTCTTCAAGGGGCTTGCCTAAACAGGGTGCTTTCTGCAGACAACCAATGATAGAGGCAACAAGCTCCACAAACTCTGCTACATCCAAAGAAAGAGAGAATTAGATGATGAGAGCCAATATCATGCAATATTGCAAGAGAGATTATATATGATCATTTTCATCTTGCTCCTGCATTAAAAAAAGAAAAAAAAGGCTTTTTATCACAAATGTCCTTGAGGTTTGCCAAATTATCACATTTGGTCATTTATATATATTTTTTTTCTGACATTATTGGTCTCTTATGTTACACCTCACACATCAATTTGGTCATGCTGTCCCGTTCTGTCAAAATTTTCCGTTAGATTGCTGAAGTATATTAAACAATGTTTTAAATATTTTGAGTTTTATCACAAATGGTCCCGGAGATTTGCGAAATTATCATCTTTGGTCCTTTATATATATATATTTTTATGACATTTTGTTAGATTTGTGTGAGGTGTAACATAAGTCATATATCAATTTGATCCCACCATGAGATTTCGTTAATTTTTTTTGTTAAATTGCTAATATGACACATATGTGGTGCACACATAGCCAATGAGAAAGTGTCAAGTGGATCTAAATGAAGAAATGTTTTTTTATATAAATAATTTAACATTTAAAATCTTTTTTAAAAGAGAGAAATTTCAAAAAACATACATTTTTTTTAAATTCAAATCCACTTGGCATGTTATTAATGGACATGTAGGATCCACATACATGTTGTGTCAAATCTATTAGGTTTTTTTTGAAAAACCCTAAATTACCCTTTAAAAAATAGTTTAACATTTCAAATATTTTTTTTAAAATTTAAAAAAAGAGAGAAAAATTTCAAAACATATTTTTTGGTAGATTCACTATTATACCCAATATATGAACCCAAATTATAAAAAAATTATATGAAATGGACTTTAGAAACATACCCAAAGCCCATTTACAACATAACAAAAAGGCTTTTAACTTCTTTTAAATTACAAAACTACCATTGATTTTTTAAAACAAACCCAACCCAAAAACATCATAAAAAAAGCCTAAAACACTCAATAAGGCATCAAAGTAATTTAATAATCGAAATTAATATCAATATGGTCATCTATCATTTTTTGAGTTTTTTTTTGTTTGTTTATATAAATTAAATGGTGTATGGTTTATTTATAATTTTAGTGCTAAGAATAGGTATATGACTAAATATCTTATTTATTTATTTATTCAAATACACTTGACATGTTATTATTGGACATGTAGGCTCTGCATACATGTCACGTCAAATCTGTTAGGTTCTATTGAAATTTTCATCATTTTAACAAAAATTTCAACGGAACCTAACAGATTTGACTTGACATGTATATGGAGCCTACATATCCAATAATAACATGCCAAGTGGATTTGAATAAAAAAAACAAATTATGTTTTGAAAATTTTCTCTATTTTTTATTAAATTTTTTCTAAAAGATTTTAAATGTTAAACTATTTTTAAAAAATATAAAGGACCAGTAATGTCAGAAAAAAGAACATAAAGAACCAAAGGTGATAATTTCGTAAACCTCAGGTACCATTTGTATAAAATTGATGTGTGAGGTGTAACATAAGGGATCAATAATATCAGAAAAAATATAATTTGACAAACCTCAAGGACCATTTGTGATTAAAAAAAATCCAGGTTGAGATAGAAACCAACTTTTGTTTTGTTTTTGTTTTTGTTTTTTCCTTTTCTCTCTCATTGTTTTTACGATTTTTAGCCGTTTTAACCCCTGACCTATTTTGGCAATTTGAACTTACCCCATGAATTATTTCGTCAAATTAAACCCCTTTAAAAATACGAATTATATTTTTAAAAGTTAAAAGAAAATCAATAACATGGACAAACACCCCGCCAACGCGAGATCCCTTTCCCCTCACTTTTCTCTCAAATGGCTTCTAAGCTACAATGAACTTGACTGCCTTTCGAACTTGAGCATCATGAGTGGAACCTTCATGTCCTTAAAAACTTAAAAATTAGAATTTTTTTTAAAAATAAAATAAAAGAAAAAAACTCTCTTCTCACCCCCGCCCCAGTACTCCTATCTTCATATCTCAGTTTAAAGCAATGGGTCTCTCTTATTTTTATTGTTCTCAATATTAAATTTAATTTCATCCATTTTTTATCAGTTTCAAAGCAATGGGTCTCTCTTAATTTTCTATTTTCAATGTACTATTTTTTGGTTTTGGGTGTTTAGGTGAGGCTTGTGGGAGGGTGCATAGTATGTTTTACAGGAACTAAGCCATTGAGAATATAACCCAATTGGGCTTGAAAGGTTGAGTTCGGAACAAAAGAGATATGTTTATGGAGACACAGTTTTCTCGGAACTGTGATGCAGCTCAAAATAAGAAGCATGTGCGCCCTCATGTGATTTATTTGACGGCAATTTGGATGAAATTGCCTCAAATTTAACGGTAAGTGTGAAATTCGCTATTATAATTTATAACAGAGTTCGAGTGCTAAATTGACAAAAAAATAATCAAAGGGGTAAGTTCGAATAGCGTGATAATTCAGTGTTGCCTCAATAGAACTTTCTGTTGAGAACAAAAAAGTATTCAAAACCGCACCTGCCATTGCTATCCGTTTTTGATCAGTCACTCTTTCACATCCAAATTCCAATTTCAGGTTTCCCGTCTCCTGTATTTTAGAGACCAGTGAGATCCTTATACATAAATAATAATTAATAGTCACTATGGATATTTTCAAAAGTGCAGACTGAACAAACAAAACTATCAAGGCAATAGTAAAGCATGGAAAAATAAAACATGTTTGTTCATTCACAAATCTTTATGTCACATAAAAAAATTTCATGGTCCATTTGGATGAACTGAATACAAATTTAGGATTTTAGATAACGTAATAAGATAAAATTGTTTGGTCCATTTCATGTTTGTTCATTCACTAAGTGATTATAGAATATTATGGTAGTACGGCCACATGGTATTCACCACCCTACGGACTAACACTACAACTAATACAACCAATTACCTTTAGACAGCTGGTAGCTATACTACTTCTCAACTGAGTTGCTGTGGATAGCACACTTACACTTTTATGTGAGCAGATACATTTGCTTTCATTGAAGATATATAAGTCCAATTATCATCTCATCTAATCTAATCTGGATTGAGTTATATATAAACTGATAAATACTGGATTTGTCCTGAACACCCTGAAAGGACAAGATTAATAACAAAAGAGTTTTTATTTTGTTCTTAATGTAAAAAGGCCTTGTTGATATCTAAATCTCAAAGTGGGTGGTCTGATCAATCCTAAGCGCAGTTCATGGTAGAAGAAACGCTATCGGTAAGACAAGCTAAGAAATAATTTCCAAATTAATGCAAAAATAGTGTGCTAAGAGTTAAAGGAGAAGAAGAAGAACCTCGTCCGTCCTTCAAACGTCGCTCCCAAACAGTAACAGGCTACCTCTTTCACTTCTTATGCAATCGAAATGTGCCAAGCTTATCTCAGCCGAAAATTTGATGGATAAGAATAAGGACAATATGATTGAACAAATGATGGTTTTGGAAAAAATGGGATTTTACATCCATCGACTTTCAGGTTCCTAAGTTGAACACAAGGAGAGTTGTCATCCCTAGCTTTCCCCAACAAAATGTAAGTGAGATCATTGACAATTGGTCGAAATTTTAAACAAATATATTGGAGATGGATAAACAAAAATAATGTTGACAATTGACCATAAATTTATAAATTTATTTGGTTTTCCACTTGATGCTTCATAGAATGATGCTGCAGAGATTCCCACCAATGCTGTCAGTCTGTCAACCCTGCATGTGAACATTGGATCCGTAAGGATACTGTCTAAACCTGCACCATCTTCCTCGCTTCATATAAATTTGAAGTAAATGGGGAGAGAAAATTAACCGTCTTGATTTCATGTGTAAATTTGTTTTCTACTCCAGGTGTGAATCTTTGTATCTTAGTTGTAGACTTGCAAAGGTTTTTAGGTTTTGTTGTCATTCGGAAATTCTTGTGTGCCAAGCCAAGTCAGCTTCTTCTCTCTGTTTCTTTGAAAATAAACGATCACAACTTATCACTAATCATTTTTATAAAAATAAAAGAGAGGTGTGAGCTGTGGAGTAGTTGTGTGTGCAGTCACAATTAATAATCATCGGAATAATGCACATGTATTATTTTATCAGCTCGTGTTTCTTATCCAGTTTTATTTTATTACAACAGAACTCGTGATTCCTAGGTTTTCTTCTAGTATAGAGGAAAATGATAAAAACCTGAACCCAGATAAGGATGCGTTCAGTCTCAAATTCTTTTGAGAGGTAGTCATCTTTCGTCACTTTGAAAATGAGGTGAGACACGGTGTGGATCTTGAGATTATTTTATGTTATTTGAAATCACATTATTGACCGCATTTCTAATAGAGGCGGAACTCCCATACAAGAGCAACACCTCAAAAGACATTTGTAATCTTACTGCTCTCTGTGGGAATTTAAAGGTTACAACTTACATTTGAAAATTGAAATTTGTTTTACCCATCAAACTGAATTTTTATGGCTCAAGTGAAGCAAATAAAAGACAACAAGAGAGACTGGGATCAAAGTCTACAAATTCTACTCAATGTAAGGTTTGTAATCTTACTGCTTACTGTTATATGTAATGTTACTCCTCTCTAAAATATGTGAATTTGTAGATAGTCACACCCAAAAGTTGTTCATATTGGAGAAGATTCTACCTTCTTTTTCGTATTTAATATATATATATATATATATATATATATAAAGCAAAAGGTAGAGAATGGTGAAACATTCAAAATACTAAAAAATGTCATTGGTTAATGCAAATATTAAGAATTGAAATTATTAATTAAATAAAGATAATATGATAAATTCACACTTTTTCATATTAAAAAAAATTAAAATTAAAAAAAAATCAGATAATGAATCCTATTTTTATGGAACATAACTACCCATTATTATTTTTAATTCTAAATTAAATTTTAATTTTTTTTAAAAAAAAGCCTTTCGTATGCGCGAAAGCGCATATGAAGATGCTAGTATTGAAAGAACTCTCGAGCCCTATTCCTCTTTGATAATTAAAGAAAAAAGGTTGCAAAAGGATGATCCACAATAACGATGGCAATGCAGGGCCCAAATTCTTGCCCAACAGCAGACAAAACTATGGTCCCAGAGAAAAAGCTGGCCCAAACTATGGAACTGCCAGACACTTGTTTTCCAAATTAAGGGCCGAAAACTTCTACTTTCCTCAAATCAACGGTCGAGTCATGGATGAATACGAAAACTGACAAGCATGCTTGCACAACTGGCCGTCTGCCGCGATCAAACTATCTCCATTCTTCACCGCTTGCACACGATGTGCTTCCAAAAAACTTGAAAATGAAGTTCTGCTCTCTGTGTCAGCTCCTTGTACTCTTATCCACTGACAGCAAACACCTTTGTTTTTTCTTCTTAAAACTAGTTTAGTGCCCTCAGCTTCCCTCCAAAACCAAGCTTTGGATATCTCGTCTAGATAATCATTCAGGTACAATTCTTTTCCATTTAAAACTCCGTGTATGTATACATATACTTTGCACTTTCAATGCCAAGAAACCAATTCCCACAGTAGCCCACATGTTAATATATTATTTGCGCCTGTAAAATTTTATCAATCTCGTGCTCTTTCTCCTCTTGTGGGAAGTACTAATACCAACATGGGTTGTGGAAAATGTTGAGTCTTTTGGATTTTTCTTGGACATTTTGCTTGGTTATGCTACGTTGCTGTTTTCTGCATTCTGGGTTTAGTGAGTTTGGTTAAATTGAATGATGGGAACCAAGAATTTGGTGGCATTTGTTCTTTTTGCTCTCCTAGTTTTTGAAGGTTATTTCACTGAAAAAGTGCTTTCTGCTACTGTGACATATGACCACAGAGCACTGGTTATTGATGGGAAGCGGCGGATTTTGCAGTCGGGCTCTATCCATTATCCTCGAAGCACTCCAGAGGTGACTTCTAGAATCTGTGGTTAATGTGATTGTAATTTTTTTTTGAGAAACTTTGAAAAGGCTATCAGAGGATGCATGGTAATGACACTGTCGGGATTGTGCTTGTTGGGGAACAATGCAGGTGTGGCCGGAAATTATTAAGAAATCTAAGGAAGGGGGACTGGACGTGATAGAGACTTATGTTTTCTGGAACTATCATGAGCCTGTAAAAGGCCAGGTATGAATAATTCTGGCCTTTGATGTAAATTCATTCTAATATGAACAAACCACTAGCCTCTCAGTTAGCTAGTTAGGTCCTTTAGGAATATTGGCATCTATTTTCCCCTAAATTTGTCATTAATTTGATGTTTTCTTTCATTTTTTATAGTACTACTTTGAAGGCAGGTTTGATTTGGTAAGGTTTGTGAAGACAGTGCAAGACGCTGGCCTTCTAGTCCATTTGAGGATTGGCCCGTATGCTTGTGCTGAATGGAACTATGGGTTTGTTTCTGTTTCATGCTCTCTTGTGGTGTACATTGCACTGGCATCAGTTTCCTAGTTCTGTATTTTCCACTCTGTTATAGCTTTTTACTGATTCTGCAGATATCATTATCTTATGACAGAGGATTTCCTATTTGGTTACACTTTATTCCCGGAATTCAGTTTCGCACAACAAATGCACCTTTTAAGGTACTTGGTACATTTATTTTTGCCAGTGGAAACGGTTTCTCCTTGGATAAAACAAGACCTCTTACTCTTCCATCTTTATTTGCATTGCTATTGCTTTTGAAAAACTTGTTCACTTTAATGCATTGAATCTTATGGATTGGAAAACTTTATATACTTTTCAAAATGCAGATTGAAATGAAGCAATTTCTTGCAAAAATTGTTGAAATGATGAAGAAGGAGCATCTCTTCGCATCACAAGGAGGCCCAATCATTCTTGCTCAGGTGCTTTCCTTTGACAGTAGGCCATACACTATATGAAACTTATCAGGTCTAACTTATTAATTCTTAATGTGATGGTTTAATTGTACCCCATTTATTTTTTAATTGCCAAGTGAAGCATTGTACCAAGTGCATGACTAGTTTAAGTCATTGGATGCTTATCAAGACGTACACTAAAAAGACGGTTATGCAGATTATGTATCCAAAACGTAGTTGGGGCACTCATAGTGTTTCGATCATGCATGTTGATTAGTAATCTTGCATTTATTCAAGCTTCATAACTTACATTCCAAAAAAGTAGGCTAATAGAAATTACAGTTCTGTTTTGCATGCTCAATTTTCATTCTTATATGTGCTCTGACAGGTTGAAAATGAATATGGAAATATTGAAGGTTCATATGGAGTTGGTGGAGAATTATATGTCAAATGGGCTGCAGAAACTGCTGTCAGTCTTAATACATCTGTACCTTGGGTGATGTGTGTGCAAGACGATGCACCGGATCCAATTGTGAGTATTGTACTTGATTTTCCATGAAAAGGTGTTGTCTACACTGATAAGAGGCATCATTACTTGGAAGGTCTTCAAGTTTGCCAATCCTTGTACCTTCTAATTGTTATCTTCTCACAGTTTTTCCCACCTTTCCATTGTACCCGTTCTTTCAATATTTCCATTTGAAAGGTTTCATTATTTTTATAAATTTCCTGCAGATAAACACATGCAATGGATTTTATTGTGATAGGTTTACCCCAAATTCCCCATCCAAACCAAAGATGTGGACAGAGAATTACAGTGGATGGTAACAACCTAGCTTATTATTATAACATATAGGAGACAAGTCCACCTTTGGAGTTCAACTTGGAAATACAAAATGTTGAATATGATCATATGTAATGTGTAGGTTCCTTGGATTTGGCAATCCAATTCCTTTTCGACCTGTTGAGGATCTTGCTTTTGCTGTTGCACGGTTTTTTGAAACAGGTGGCACTTTTCAAAACTATTATATGGTAAGCTACACAGATTTCTCTTTCTAGTTCTAGCCTTGATTGGTAAAGGTTAGCATTTTCACCCCCATATGCTTCCATAAACATCATCATGATGTCTTTGTTCACTGTTATTTCCTTGCAGTATTTTGGGGGGACCAACTTCGGGCGAACAGCTGGAGGCCCTTTGGTTGCGACAAGCTATGATTATGATGCTCCCATAGATGAATATGGTAAATTTATCCAACACTTGGATTTTGAGAAATTAGTGAAACAGATTAATTTTTGTTGTGTGGCTCAGAAATTCAGAATTTGTCATTCAAATATCCTGAGGTTGTTTCATCTTGTGAGGAACCTTATGCAGGTTTTCTTAGGCAGCCAAAATGGGGCCACCTGCGTGACTTGCACAAGGCGATAAAGCAGTGTGAAGAACATATGATCAGCTCCGATCCAACACAAGTGCAACTTGGTAAAAACTTAGAGGTGTGCAACATATTTCAAGATTCTTCAATAAATTTTCCAGACTTAAATCAATTGTCTTTGATGATCAGTTTTCACCATTATTTTCTCATGCTCATATCTCTTCCTCCATCCTCACTTTGGTTTTTCCTTTCTTCATCAGGCACATGTCTACTATAAAAGTTCTAATGAGTGTGCAGCCTTTCTTGCTAATTATGGCAGTAGCTTAGATGCAAATGTCACTTTTAATGGAAATATCTATTTCCTTCCAGCTTGGTCCGTGAGCATCCTTCCCGATTGTAAAAATGTTATATTTAATACTGCAAAGGTACATATCCTATTGTAATTTAGTATTTCATTCAAACTGGGTCAATTGGGACTGACAACTTTTTATAGCTTAGAAAGAAAATGTTACAGAATCTCTTGAACCTGTTAGGATTTTGGTAGTTAAGGAAGAGGAGAGAGAAGAAGAGAGAAAATAAATAGTTTTTGTAAGGTCTATGCTCATGTCTTTATTAGCTCTTATGTTGATGATATTTTCCTCACAACAATGTGTCACAATTGAAGGTTGTCTCACAAAGAACTCTTGGAGATTCTTCTTTTTACGCCACAACCAGTGTAAATGATTTTATATTGGAACCATCTTCATGGAGTTGGTATAAAGAAAGAGTCGGTATTTGGAGCAACAATTCGTTTATGAGCTCAGGCTTACTGGAGCAGATAACTACAACAAAAGATACTAGTGATTATTTATGGTATACAATAAGGTAATAATCCAGTTTTGATGATAATTTTTACAGTCAATCCAGTGCATTTCTGTGCTCATCAAATGGATATATTAGAAATCCTTAGCATACTTGTATGCTAGTTATTTTTAATCCTATTCAATTTCTGACATATTCTTGAATGTGCTTCACTATACTGGCAGTATTAATGTGAAAGAAAACAACATACCTGGTCAAGAGAAAGAACTTTTTCTGCATATTGAGAGCCTGGGGCATGCAGCACTTGTTTTCGTAAACAAAAGACTTGTAGGTTGGTACTCTATTGAATGCAGAGAAGTAAAAAACTGATCAGCTAACTCTTGAATCCCTATGTATTCAGAAGTTTAGCCTTTGTGCATCTAAAAGAACATTTTATATTGTTATCTTGAAGGATTTGGATACGGTAACCATGAAGATGCAAGCTTCATCCTAGATGAGAAGATTACTCTGAACCATGGAAATAATACCATAGATCTGTTGAGTATGATGATTGGTGTACAGGTACATAATACTGTTTGGCGCTAATTTTCATGTGGATTTTCTTTTAATATTAATTAAAAAAGAGCCATCCACCTTAACATGCTCATGGCCTCTTGATATAAACTCCTTCTGTAATTTTCCAGAACTATGGACCGTGGTTCGATGTTGCAGGAGCAGGAATCTTTTATGTTGCTCTTCGTGACTTAAAGAACGACACAAGTGATCTTTCTTTTGAAGAATGGACCTACCAGGTTAGAGCATTTTCTTCATAGCGGTGACATTGGTTCAAAATTGAAATTGAGTTAGCTGACTGGCGTGATTTATGATTGCTATATATATACATACACATAAGCACAATTTATACGCATAATCTTGATCTCACAAGCCCATATTTGATATTTCCTTATCTTAAGGTGGGACTTGAAGGGGAAGACCTTGATTTGGATAACATAAATCTTGCAAACAGTTCACTCTGGACTACAGGAGCAGCTCCACCAGTTAATCAGAGTTTGATATGGTACAAGGTAAGCAGTTTGCATGCTTGGTTCAATGTTTTCTTTTCATTTTGCTTTCTTCGATTGATGTTCTTCTCATCCTCAGGTTGCATTCCTTGCTCCTGAAGGAAAGGGTCCTTTGGTATTAAATCTTGCTAGCATGGGAAAGGGACAAGCATGGGTTAATGGGCAGAGCATAGGGAGATATTGGCCTGCCTACCTCTCACCATCATCTGGTTGCACCAATGGCAGTGATTGTGACTACAGAGGAGCCTACGATCCAACGAAATGTCTAAAGAACTGTGGTCAACCAGCTCAAACTCTGTAAGAGTGAATGCATTGCTGGTTTTGTTCATTTATGTTGTCCTGCATAGTGATGCACCAAAAGTGATATAATCATATTAAAATCAAATGCATTGTATATAATTTTTAGGTACCATATTCCCCGTACGTGGGTACATATTGGAGAGAACCTTCTAGTTCTCCATGAAGAGCTTGGTGGTGACCCTTCTAAGATTTCTTTGAGGACAAAAACTGGCCAAGAGATATGTGCACATGTATCAGAGACTGATCCTCCTCCTGCCGATTCCTGGAAACCAAACTCGGAATTCATATCTCAAAACCCTGAAGTTCAACTGACCTGTGAACGAGGATGGTACATCACTTCAATCAATTTCGCTAGCTTTGGAACTCCTATAGGAAAATGTGGCACATTCGCTTTGGGAGCTTGCAATGCCGACATCTTATCAATTGTGCAGCAGGTAAGAGAAACCTCAGCTTCTTCATATTATAATGTGGAACCAGTAACCCAGGTTCTGATTCAATTTGGAGTTAGAGGTCCTTAAACTAGAATGTCCTCTAAAAAAAACATGAGGTTTTCTTGTACGATAAGCTGGATTTAATTTCAATGGACTTGCAGGCTTGCCTTGGCCAAGAAAGATGTTCAATCCCCATCTCCACAGCAACCTTGGGTGATCCTTGTCCTGGAGTGTTAAAATGTTTAGCTGTTGAAGCTCTTTGCAGTGATTGAAAGTTCCACTTGTTTACACCAAACCACGAGACTTGAATGGATAGATAGGTTGGCACGATGCACTATAGTGCTGCTGATGACGTATCTTGTGATCTTTTTGGCCCTTTACTAGCGAAGATGTTATTTGACATGGATATTACACTAGGCAAGTGCACAAAAATTATGAATTACTTGACTTGAAAACCCACCATTTTGATTAAGGTGAATCAATATTGCATTAATTCTGGGAACATTTTCACTTTGATAACCCTGGAGGCCGATTAAGGGCACATTATTATTGATTAAGATTAATCAATTTTGCATGAATTCTGGGAAGGGCACGAAGTGGCAAATTGAAAACTGAATGATCGTGTAGTAATTTATTCTCATAATACAAGAGTACAACATAAGCATCATCGCCATACCACAATATTAAATATATGCACACTCAGCATCATCCTAGACCCGACCAACCTAATGAGGTCTGAATTATTCACTTGATTATTACATTTTATTACAGTTAACATTCATATATCATCACGCAACAAGCAGTATCTTTCCAATATGCTGGCTGCTTTCCATGAGCCGGTGAGCTTCTGCTGCCTCAGATAGTGGAAAAGACTTGTAGATCACAGTTTTCACCCTGCCGGCAACAATTGCAGGCCACACATTGTTCTCCACCTCCCTAGCAATTTCCGCTTTGTTTTCTGGACTTCTGTACCGCAAGCCAGCCGCTGCATACACAACCACCACATGACATAAGGATATACCAAAAACACTCTTATATCAAACAAAGCGCAACAACTCTTTGCAAAAAGGAAGGGAAAACGGTGTCGCTAAGTTATGAATCATTGCAAGGCCAAATCCACCCAACTCCAAAGTTCAAACCTATGGAACTAGAAACCTAGTATAAATTCTACTACCTTGGATGGTGAGACGCCTCGAAAGCACAACACGGAGATCTATTTCTGTAACAGCACCACCCAACATCCCAATGACAAAAAGCCTCCCATCAAAATTTAAGCTGTCAAGGTTCCGCCGAAAGTAGCTTGCCCCAATGCTATCCAAGATAACATCAACACCTGTCATTAGTTATATATCAACATGTTTTTCTCCTCCGACAGTAACTGAAAATAAAAATTAATCCTAATTTCTAACATCAATGAAGTGTTGATACAAGAGAACAAACCTTTGCCACCTGTTTCTTCCTTTACCCGTGCAACAAAGTCCTCGGTCTTGTAATTGATGCACACATCAGCTCCAAGCTCCTTGCAAACAGCTAACTTTTCCTCACTTCCTGGTGATCAAGATCTATATCGATAATTACGAAGGAAAAAAAACTGATTTTTATGCCATAAAAGAATAATTGCGGCTTACCTGCTGTGACAAACACCCTTACTCCCTGGTATTTGGCTATCTGAATTGCAAATGTACCAATTCCACTGGAGCCCCCATGAACCTGAAATTTTGGCAGTCATTCAGTGATATATAAAGCTAGCATCAGAGACAAAGAAAGGAATTGACTTTATCAATTATGTTATGCCCAGAGCATAATTTGTGATAGTATACACAAAAAAGTGCAATAATACCAACCTAAACATATAGATATGGTAGAAAATTTATTTCTGATAACATTTTCCACAAATCTTCATGGAAATAAATGAAAGCACCTGACATTTAGACAACAAAATAAAAAAGCCACCATAGCTATTTTGGACCTACAACCATTACAGCATTTTCATTCAAACGATCAAATAGGAGAATACTATAGTAGGTTCAGAAGTTACCAAAAACGATTCACCAGCAGATAGCCGACTCATCATAAAAACAGTCGACCAAACAGTGCATGCCACCTCAGGAAAGCTAGCAGCATCCTTCAAAGAAATACCTGGCGGGACGGGAAAAACTTGTCCAGCTGGAACGGCCACCTTCTCAGCATACCCTCCTCCACTAAGAAGAGCACACACCTGCACAACACAAATTGATACAGTTCAAGTATGTGAAACAAAGTCTCAAATCCGGTTCCACTGACAGAATGGAACAAAGGGCTGTTGTAAAAAGCAGTGCTTTTACTAGGCTTAACTCATTCCATCGAAAGTTTTTTATAAGCGAACTGGGATATTAATCCATTACCTTTTACTAACCAAGCACTATTGAAGCAAATTCAAATTGTGATTACACCAATTTAAGATCCTTATATGATTTATTTTTCATTTGGAGCCACTAAAGAGTCCCATTACACAAGAACCCCTGGTGAACCCATAGTTTCAGCTCATGAAAGTGAATGGGATAATAAAAGCTTTGATTTTAATGGTATATTATATATAAACTACCAACTCCATTGGCAACACTATATTCCCAAATTCCTTTCTTTTCATCTTTGCACACCGAATGATCATAACACCCATTTTCCTTCTACTTTCCACCATTTTCTCAGCAAGAAAACACAACATAAAAAAAAATAAAAATCCAAATTCCGTATTACCCGATCACCGACTTGCCAGCGTGAGACGTGTTCCCCAACGGCCTCGATGGTTCCAGAACATTCGAGACCCAGGTAGGGGCTGGAACCCGGGGGTGGCGGGTACGCCCCTTTCCTCTGCAACGTGTCGGCTCGGTTCAGCGCCGTGGCCGCGACTTTGATCAGGACTTCATCTTCTTTGAGTTCTGGGTCTGCAACTTCTAGTAGCTTGAGGACCTCTGGTCCACCTGGAGTTGTTATGACTACGGCCTTCATCATCAAAGACTCAACTTTTGAGCTTTTCCACTGAAGAAGAAGACCGACTTCACTTGCTCGTTCGCAGCAGAACACAGTAACTTATACTAAGCGGTGAAACAAACGATATGTCGTTGAATTCGTCTCTGGGAAGCCATAAACGACAGGTCGTGTGCATTTATCAATCACAATGTCCATTTGTGGTTTATTTTCTTTCCTCTTTGTTTGGTTTCTGGGGAAGGACCCACCAGCCTTTTAGTTCCAATTCAAACCCGAATGACTTGTTGGGTTTTGGTCTTACATTTTCTCAGCTGCCAAAAATTGGGTTACTGATTTCCTGGGGGAAATTTGAGTGCTTTCTAGCTTAATTTCTGCTGGGAATATTTAGCAGTGTTATTGACAGTAATGGCTGGGCCTGGACTATGGTGGACTTGGAGGGTGCTTGGGTCTCTGCTGTTGGTGCCAGGAATTCTGGGTTGGGGCAAAGAAGGCCACTTCGCAATTTGCAAGATAGCAGAGGTGAGTCGGCATATTTAGTCATGAGGAATTAGATTTTATTCTTACCAACCCAACATGAAAATGCATAACTAGAAGTGATGCAAGCTTGCTGGTATTTGTAAATATTTTGTCTATAAAATTAATTGGTCGATAAAAAAATGGCTTTAGTAGAGAAAAGAGTGGATTGATATGATGGATATGAAAATTGGGAGAGCGCATCGTCAGACTAGTTGCATAATTTATATGCAACTTATCACTTTAGCTTCATGTTGGTTCAAAAATGTGTTTGAAGTGCTGATGAAGATAAAGGATGGGGTTTTGTCCATGTCACCTCATTTTTGTGCTTATATTGTAATTTTGACGATGGTGGTAAGATGGGTTCTGAATCTTCAACATTTGTTTGATACAGGGCTTTCTGAGTAAAGATGCCCTGGCTGCAGTAAAAGAATTGCTTCCAGCGTCTGCCGCGGGTGATCTTGCTGAAGTTTGTTCCTGGCCTGATGAGATTCGATACCATTTGCGGTGGAGTAGTGCTTTACATTATGTTGACACACCAGATTTTTTGTGTAACTACAAATATTGCAGTGAGTAGCTAGTTTTTCAGTGATTTAGTGGTGCTATCTTGATAGTTTTAGGTCTGATACTTTCTTGACATTAGCCTATGTAATTATTTCAGCAGCTTGTGCCTGCTGGATCATGCATCTGTTCATGATCTGCAACTGCTCAGTTTAATTCATAGTTTGTTTTGCATGGCTTCTTTCTTTGACTTAATTCTCAAGATGAACGATAATGTTATTGCTCGTCTGATAGGAGACTGTCACGACCCTGCTGGACATAAAGATAGATGTGTGACCGGAGCAATTTACAACTATACAATGCAACTCTTTTCAGCTTATCGTGACTCCATCTCAGAATCAAAGTGTAAGCACCCATATTTATTGGATGTTGAGGCTTGCCCATTCTAACATATAACTATTCCTAAATATCAATTTCCCTCATTTTTTTTATGACAGACAACTTAACTGAAGCACTTATGTTCTTGGCTCATTTTATTGGGGATGTCCATCAGGTTTTCTTTTCACACTGGTAACTTTAACTGCCTTAGAAAAAGAGTAAACCATGCAGTGGCATCTCAAATTTTCCGGATGAAGTGGTGTAAATTAATAAAAGACACTATCTGAATGGTTTAGACTAGATTAGATTTGTGCATATTTTAAAAGAGAAATTATCACTTTCGTTTTCTTTAAGAAATTCATGTTTGGTGTTGACAGCCCCTACATGTTGGCTTCACTGGAGATGCCGGCGGGAACACAATAATAGTCCGATGGTATCGCAGGAAGACGAATCTCCACCATGTATGTCTTAATTCCATAGTAAACCCCATCGTCGTGGACCTAAATGAATGATTATATTATTATCTCCCCTTTATTTCCCACGTACATCCCCTTCTCTGTTTTTCTGGCTTTTTTTATTTTTTTATTTTTGGACAAGAATGATTGTGCAAAGCAACAGTCAGATGTGAGAGGTTTTGGAACGGTAAAAGATGGCATATTTGTTGTTTGTGTTCAAGCTTTTGACTCTGTAAAAATGGTGTTGTTCTAGGTCTGGGATAATATGATCATTGAATCTGCTGTAAAGACATTCTATAGTAAAGATCTTGCAATCATGATAAAGGCCATTGAAAGTAATATTACGGTATGAAGTTCATATTTTATTGTTGTTTGAGTTTGTTATAAGATTTTTTTGTGCTTTTGTCCTCACAAGAGTACACATCCCTGTGCAGCAATGCGATACTCATTTGCTTTTCTATTTATTTGCAGGATGGCTGGCCCAATGATATATCAAAATGGCAAATTTGTGCAAATAATCAGACTGTATGTCCAAATGAGTATGTACATGTTCGTTTTAGTTCCTCCAATGCTTAATACCTCGTGTATGTGTGATTTAACTTGTTTTTGGTCATGCAGATATGCTTCTGAAAGCATTAGTTTGGCATGCAAATATGCTTACAGAAATGCCACACCAGGAAGCACACTGACAGGTATGCAAGGATTTGTTATTCCATTTAAGGTTTTCGTTTTCTCTTTCATACATACCAATAGACAACGTAACGGAATTAAAGGTGTGAAAATGTTTGATATCTAGGTCTAACTTAAGAATCATTTTCTTAAAATGAAAACGATATCCCGCCAGGCTATTTTCATTTGTATTGGTTCCCTCTAGCTGACTATTGCAGCAATGACAACCTACCTGCATAATTGCATGTCCTAGAAATATTTATATAATCACATTTCTGATTTTTTTTTTTTCTATCTCTAACTCCATCACATCACATGGACTTGGAACATTTTGTTTTGATGCTAGTATATTCTCATATAGTTTTTTGTTTTATCTTCTTGTTTAGATGATTACTTCCTTTCTCGGCTACCTGTTGTGGAGAAGAGGATAGCTCAAAGTGGGGTCCGCCTGGCTGCTACCCTCAATCGTGTTTTCTCGTCTGAAGCAAAAATTGCTGAAGCATGAAGGTAGAGGATAGAGGATAGGGATGCATCTTCGGAAGATCACCTATAGTGGGGCCCACCATTGTTGCTTAAAAGCGTCAAGTTCCCCATACGCAAGACCTCCCTCATGTATCAAATTAGTGAAGTCTTAATGTATTCCTAATATGTTGATGATGCCCCTAATATGCCAGAATATGCCCAACACCTCATCCCATCTGGCTTGTGTTAAAGAATCAATCAGAGACTGACTTTTGGTTTGGGGTACTTAAAATAGTTGGAAGACCAAACTTGTACTCATTGAATAACTTGAATGACTTGTAAATATAAGCAACCAAGTCCCTCTGTCGGGCCTATAAATTATCAGTATTGTGTCATCATATTGAGGAACAAATTAGTTGGTTTTTTTCTCAGCAGATAGAAATTAAGATGGACAGGTATAGATGCTTTGGGGGATTTTCCCTTCATGGGTTTGTTTTGTTACTAGCGTTTGTTTGCATTATAGTTCCAAGAGCTCGAGGATGGAGCAAAGAGGGTCATATTATGACATGCCGGATTGCACAGGTAAACCCAAATTCCATCACTCTGGGAAGTGGGAAGTAGGTCCTGTTCTGTTTGAGCAACATCATGATTGTGGAACTATTGAAATGAATTGCCCAAAATTCCATCTAGTTTAGAATCATGTCCATTAAAAAAATGTAAATGCAGTCACTCCAAGTAGTTTACACGTCTCAACATATTTTTACTCTTCAATTTTTTAATTTTTAATTTTTGGGTTTGATTTGATCATCCAATCCAAGTCAGATGGGTTTTTGAATGAATTGAAACCTTAATGAAAATTCAAATTCGGACCTACACCGTCCTTTGCATGTCCTAGATTTTTGAGTTTCGATAGGATCTCAATCCTTATAAAGATCATTGACTAATTATTGTTAAACTGCAGGCACTTCTAGAGCCTGAAGCAGCAGAAGCCGTTAGAAATTTACTACCTCACGACGTCGATGGCGACTTGTCCGCTCTGTGCGTATGGCCAGACCAAATCAGGCATTGGTACAGATACCGGTGGACTAGCCCGCTTCACTTCATTGACACACCTGATAATGCTTGCAACTTTGACTACTCAAGTAAGCTTTATAAATATATACCATGCCTGTTTAGTACTTTTTAATCAATTAGCAGAATTGCAACATTATTAATTGTGCCATGTTAACTTTAATTTGGGATAACAGGGGACTGTCATGATACACATGGCTTGAAGAACATGTGTGTTGCTGGTGCCATCCAAAATTTCACCTCTCAGCTTTCACAATACACAGAAGGAACCTCTGACCGTCGATGTAAGGAACCCCGATTTTATTATATGTGCAGATTGATTCCATTGCTTTAGGTTTTGTCAATGGCTAATTTCTTGCTTGCACGACAAACAACAACAACACCATGGTTTGTTTGCCTTGGACTCTTTGCAGATAATATGACTGAGGCCTTGCTTTTCTTGTCACACTTCATGGGAGATATCCATCAGGTATGTGGCCAATTCCAACATTTTACGTTCTTCTATAGCTCTCTTTGGATTGAACTTATTAAGGATTTCTTTTTTAGTTTTTATATTCTGATCATCTTCTTGTGTATATTTTGGCAGCCAATGCACGTTGGATTCACGACAGATGAGGGAGGAAACACAATAGACTTGCGTTGGTTCAGACACAAATCAAATCTCCACCATGTAAGCCCTTTTACTTGTAGCTACATAGACCTTTTAAATAGACAGACACGGTTGCCAGAGAAACAAAAAAGGGTTTGAGAAGCCAAGCAATATAGTTTGACAGGAAGAGAAAATACTTCTTTTTTTAATGAGTTATGTCGGATTGGATTACTACCAGTCAAAAAACAATGTATGTTGTGTTAACCTTTCGTTTTGTTTAAAAATTAAGAACAGAAATTTCTTGTTTCCGCAGGTATGGGATAGGGAGATTCTATTGCAAGCCCTGAAGGACTATTATGACAAGGACATGGAACTCCTCCTACAAGACATACAGGGAAACATCACAGATGTAAGGACCAATGTTTATTAACGTAACTATATGAGATTAAGGGATGCTTGGCAAAATATGAATGAATTATTAAGTAACTTGAGCTAAATTATGTATTAATTCATTATATATACTACGCAAACAGGGAATCTGGTCTGATGATGTTACATCATGGCAACATTGTGATGATCACCATTCATGTGTGAACAAGTAAGCTCTCTCTCTCTCTCTCTCTCTCTCTCGCACATACACACACGGACACACACGTGTACATATGTACGATGCATACATACCTTTGATATTTTCGTTGTCGATATTAGTATTGAATACCTTGTTACGTACGTAGTTATGCTACAGAGAGTATAAACATAGCTTGCAAGTGGGGTTACAAGGACGTCAAGAAGGGTGATACTCTAACAGGTATATATACTTGGCAAACACATTTTACTGTCACTTCCAAATTTCAATACGAAATTGGCAGAATATTGAAAATGCCAAAGTAAAAGACCCAACAGCAAGAACAAGCAGGATTTTGGAATTTTGATCCAATTTCCTTGTTAATTAATTAATTATGTGATTGAATATTTTAGATGATTACTTCCTTCCTCGGCTACCTGTTGTGGAGAAGAGGATTGCTCAAGGTGGAGTCCGCTTAGCTGCCATCCTCAATCGCGTCTTCTCTTCTCAAGAAACACAAGTTGGTGATGAAGCATCACGTTCACCCACCTAACCTAACTATACAATACAAGCGAATGCCATCATCAACTACAACTTACACCAAATTCAAGCATGAACCTAAACCCATGCACCAAATTGTGCTTTAGAAAATTGTTATTTCACTTCATTCCTAATTTATAAATTATGTGTAAAAATTATTTTGTAACATCACTTGTCGTGTTGATATAGTAATGTAGTGTTACGGATCCCTAATAAAAAAGAAAACATTTTTTTTCCAACCCTTGTAAGTTTGCTCAACTTTTTAATGAAATAACAGTAATGTTCTCAAACTTCGACAGCCAGGTTTTTTATTGTATATTTCTTCTTTAATTGAGAATGGACAGTAACTAACAAAAAAAACAAAAACAAAATTAAGCTCATATTCTTGGGCCCAAATTTGGACCCAAAAAAGTAATGCTATTGGGCCTTGCCAGCCATTTGACACCACCAAAAAGGAAAGAGGAAAGAAACAATCAAAGGAAGACCCCGATATCGTGGAAGACAAGACAATTCACACGCCAACCTCAAACTTTGTCTGACCGTGTCTCTTGTCTTTACCACTGACTAAGTGCTAGGGTTTTTAGGGTTTATAGGATCTGATGGTTCATGGGAGTGGGACCAACTGAAGGAGGACCTCCATTAGTCCAAAACCTTGACCAAACAAAACGACACCAAAACACGTTCGCCGTACGAAATGCCAAACTACACACAGTAGCACTATTTCCTCTTCCCGTGTCTCTGTATTTTTGTGTATCTGCCTCCTTCCTCGAACCAACATTCAGACCCTTTATTTATTTTTCCAGTCTTTTGATGTTTACTATTTTATAATATGTACCTCTGAAATCTAAACCAAACTTCCTTGCGCCCCAAGCCGGCGCCTTTTCAACTCCCTCTGGCCTCCATTTGTTCGCTTCTCATATTTATTTTATAGATCGCCATTTAGATTTTGTGATAATTCATTAACAACAGACATGGAAACCCTTTCGCTTTTGTCCTAAGAACTGCTCCAACAATCTTGGATCTTATACCACATACGCACGGCCTCTGTGTTCTAAAGCAAAAAACTTTCACTGATTCATCGCTCCAATACAGTAATGCTCTTCAACCTTATGCTTCATAAAGATCACTGCTGTCAAAGATTTCGTATTTGCTGTGTTTCTCAATCCTCTTGGCTGTAGTTTTGTTCTTTTTTTCTAATGTATAAACCTTTTTTTTTTGTTTCTTTGTTTTTTTAATAGGATCTGCTTATTAAAATGTCGATGAATTAGTATTACATTTGAGTTTGATTTTTGAACTTGAAAGTTTTTATTTTTCGTCTTTTGGGTCTAATTTTTGGTGCCTTTTCATGCTGATCTTTGCATATAAAACAGAGTTGTTCTGTTTACGAGTTGCTTTGTTGCTTGCTGCCATCCAGTATGTTTACCTTAATTATTCAATCGAAAAAGTTCATGAATCTGGAGGTTGGGATTGTCGATAAAGAAATATTTGGCAGAATTGAGCGGTCATGAATTTTTTTCTTTTAACATGGAAGAGTTATCTGCGTTGGATGTGCCAGTTACGTATTAAATGTTAATTTGTGCAGGCAATGCATAAGTAATAAGCTGCTGTTCTTTATGTTTTTTTTTTTTGGCTCCTAAATTTACAAGAGCTTTCTCTTTGTTTCTGCCATCAGCTGATTAGCAAGCTAAGCTGTTTTTTGTTTTCTAGTCAACTAGTATCTTGGACACTATCGTTGTCATGTGTCAATAATGTTACCTGCTTTGATTGGTGTGTAGCTCTAATTGTCCTACCTGTTGTCATCACCTCTCCACCTGTTTGGAGTGGTCAATTCAGCTGCCTATAAATATTTCTGTCTTCAAATGTTTCTCCTACAGTGGTAGCAAGTTTCATAACTCACTTCCTCCACCTTCCTTGGTTCAATTTCAACAGGTTGATCAAGCACCAATTTGGTTCTCTTTAGAGGGTTCAAAGGGTACTTTGTGTCTTGCTTCAGGGACTGGTACTCGATCCCAGCATGGCATTAGAAAGGATTGCTAGGACTGCTAGAAATGGCTTCAGAAGGTCGCCATCAGGAGCATCCGCCCGCACGAGTGAGAAGGATATGTTGTGCGAGGGAGCATCCACACGCAAATATTGTTCCTTACCTTCACTCGAAACTGACACTAGAAATAGAAACTTTTTGTACCTCTCCAGCATTTCAAAAGTGAATCACAATAGTTTTTGGAGCAGGGGAATAAGGGCAACCCCAACTTATCAATATCCTTCTGCAGAAAGGATTGTTGAGGAGTCTGATTCGGAGTACAACGATCCCAAATATCCGGGACTAGAAGCAACCAAGCCAGGTCAAAAGCCAAGAGTGGTTGTCCTTGGTACTGGCTGGGCGGCCTGTCGATTCCTTAAGGGACTAGACACCAAGATCTATGATGTTGTTTGCATATCACCAAGGAATCACATGGTCTTCACTCCTTTGCTTGCTTCAACTTGCGTTGGTACCCTGGAATTCCGTTCAGTCGCTGAACCTGTTACTCATATACAATCTGCATTGGCAACAGATCCCAATTCTTTCTTTTATATGGCTTCCTGCGTTGGTGTTGACACAGACAAACATGAGGTAACTAAATCCTCTCTAACAATTTCTTTTCCTTCTTTTTCTGTTCAACATAAATTTTATCAATTATTTTCGTTTGAGGGTAATATATGCAATGCCATAGCATGTGATG